TGGAATAATTGCTGCAGGCTTTTCGTGCACATTATTCTGTGGAAACATTTTTTTTTTTTTTTAACCGACGCTCGCGTCACAGAAGAGAAAAGAGAATTTAGAATCGTTACCAACAGGTCGCGTCGTGTCGTGCATGGAAAAATGAGCAGTTATTTTAAAAACTTCAGATTTTGAATGAATGACGACGCTGAAGAAGTCCAGCTGGGTTTAGTACCCATAATGCCTCAGGTGAAAAGTCTAAATGTTGAACAGTGGACTGGAGTCAGAGTCAGAGCTTATTGACTTTAGAGGAAAAACAAGGANNNNCCCCGCTGTCCCACCCCCTGAACCTGCTACTGATTCTTTATGTTTGTTTGACCCAAACAAACTGATCCACGTGTTTATTGTCAGAGACCTGAGGTTTCTGGATGTTTCTGAAAGTCGTTTCCTACGACTTTATCTGCAGGTTACACAACTGGTCAGAAAAAAACGTTAGAAACGTTTCCACTCAGGGAGAGCGAGCTGACGGAAACGATCGCCTTCAGCTGTGTTTGCTGGATATTTGTCTTTTTTTTAAGCTCATGTTCTGATTAATAATCACAGTCTTATTTGATGAAGAAAATGATTGGATAAATGCTCAGCAGTGAAAGGTATTCTGGGAAAAAAAAAAATCTTGGAAATTCCCAGGTTATTATCCAATTACGGTGCACTTTTCACCTTTGCTTCAAGGAGACCATTTAAAAAAAAGAAAAAAAAAACTTCAACCACATGTGGTTTCAAACCTGTTTTTAGTTCAATTCAAGATAAAAATCCGCTCTGAATTATTCACAGAGCAGAGAGTCGGAGGACGACGTAAGTCTGTGAAAACTGTCGACAGACGTCAGGACGACTACGGCTCAGGAAACCGTCACTTTGAGAATCCTCTGGACAATCAGTCCAATCACATGACGACTAACATGACACTTCTGCCCCCCCCCCCGATCTCCCCCTCCTCTAACAACGTGTTCCTCTGACAGGACGACGAGGCCGAAGGAGAACAGACGTAAACACTTTCAAACGTTCGCTGGATTAGCTTTAACAAGCTAACACTTGTTAATGTGGCACCGTTCTCCCACCGTTTGAGGGGCAGTTAACCCCGACCGTGACGGGCTCCTGTTCCCCCGGGGTCACGACCCCGCCCAGCCTTTTGCACTAAAATAGCATGTGATTATAGATCCTGGTTTAAAAGTAAATATAGGAGTTGACGGCAGCTGAGGAGGGACAAGTGGGAGACACAGAAGACAGGAGCTGAAGTGTGGATGACTTTTTGTTTTTTTCTCTCAACGTGTTTGAAGTTTGGGTTGATGGATTTTGAATGGACATTCCTCAGACTTCTGCCTGTGTTTGTTCTCCTGCTTCTTATCAGAGGCTGCACCGAAACACAATCTACTGGACAAGAATCAAACGAGTTTGTACTGTCGAGTTTTCAACTAAACAGGATTCACCCATTAGTAATGAAGGAACAATGAAGTGCCTTTATAATAATTAGTACCAGAAACTGAACTTGTCTGCAGTCATGTGACCTCAGTTACAACAGAAATCCCTCAGATTGCTGATACGCAGAGTTTTGTACGTGGACGTTATATAAGAGCCGATCTTTCGTATGTGGACGTTATATAAGAGCTGATCATTTTTCCAAGAAAAAAAAAAAAAAACATGTTTGTTGATTTTTACACAGAACAAAGATAAACGGTGGTGAGAGGTTTCGAGTTCCAGCCAAAACTGTTCAAATCTCATCTATCACATGGGTTCTCAGCCCCTGGTCCGGGGACCAGTGACGATCAAAAAGAGTGAAAAGTGGAACATGCTAGGCTAGGTCACCGACACGACTGTAAAACAGAACACGTTCCATTCACTTCTATGAAGAGAACATGTCATGTTCTGAACATGTTTTCATTTTTTCTTTTTTTTTACATAAAAAACTGAAACGTTTCAGGTCTTGAAGTGGGTTCTGTCACGAGGAGGAACCCGTTTCACATCATCTAACTCTGTGTCAGCGCCAGATACAACGGTAGGAAACTGAAAGGCAATTATTTGGTTAAGCACAGGAGCACATTAAAAATTAATAACAGCCCATCGCAGAGCTATTCCCAGCAGCACTCTGCAAAACCAACACAATTAGAGGCGGCAGAGTGAAGGGGCAGCCGTAGAGCCGGCTTATCTAGAGTGACTCTGTCAGGCATTAAAACAGCATTAAAAAACAATTCTACACAGAAGGAAGTCAATTAAAATAAGCACAAATAAATAAATAAATAAATAACCTATGAAGGAAATGTGCAGCCAGTGGAGCAGAACATCCAACTGGATTAGAAGAGGAGGAGGAGGAGCAGGAAAGGAGGAGGAAAGGAGCGAACATCAGCAGCACAGAGGAGGAAGAGGAGGAGGAAGAGGAGGAGGTGAAAACAGTCCACGGACTTTTACTAAGTTAGTTACAGTGAAGTCATGGACGTGAATGAAGCCGTTACATCATGATGAGGTCATTATCTTCTGATTATCAGCTCCATTATTCATAATTACTCTGTGATGTCTGGAAAATCCTCTGACGCACGACGACGTCCCAAACACAAACTGAAGAAGAAAACCTGCAGCGACCCACGTGGACCACTGGACCAGTGTGGGCTGCACTGATCAGAGGACACACACACAGTGACACACACACACACACCGTGACACACACAGCGGGCCTCATGTGGCACTGGCAGTCTTTCATACCAACATTAATCTCCCAGTGTTAAATCTGGCTCGATTTCAGGAGCGAGACGAGGTCACACAAAGGCCGGTTTGGAAAACTAACGAAGCAGCCGGAGATTAACTCTAGTTAGTGACATGTCATCTGGTCACCACTAGTCAAGACGACTAGTCAAGACGACTAGTCAAGACGACTAGTCAAGACGATCATCGACAAACTCTGAGCAGTTTAACCAACGCTAAGACAGTACGAGCCGAGCAAACACAGACGGTTTATGAGAAATGGATGAAAGTTCACAGTCATCACAGACACCTCCTGCTGCTCACCGGCACCTCCACTTGGGGCGCTATACTGTGGGTTTACTATCTTTCCACTAAAGAGGACTCTCTGTTACTAACAGCAGTAAATTAAATAAAGAGAACGTCAGGATCCAGAATCTTTCAGCAGAAAAGTCATGAACAAACCCCGGGTCACGGCCGAAGTCTTACCTTTGAAGGAGAGGAAGATCCTGGGAGCAGAGAGCGACTCGTTAGAAGAAGTCAGCGCTCCAGACGACAGGGCCACACAGGCCAGCAGCCCACACACCGCGGCCCACAACATCGTTCTTCTGTTAGTAATCAGACGGGGGGAGGTGGGGGGGGCGGGGGTCCAGGAGTTGACAGACGGAGAGTGTCAAACGATCGCCGTAGAAAATCAGCCGTCAGTCTGCAACACAGACAGGAAGTCAGGGTGAAAGTCAGTCACTGCTCTTCATCTTCATCTTCGTCTTCGTCTTCGTCAGTGTCCAGGTCTAAAACTGTCAACTCTGCTCTGACCTGCCTGTTCCTCAACATCCACCACCAAACTCTGTCTCTCTGTTTCACTGTGAACGGACCGGCTCCAGTCGGGAGGCGGACAGACGGAGCCACCGCCGGCACCGCAGACCACAGCTTTACCACAGAGCAGCTGGAAAAGGCTCCGGATTTTACTACTGTTTTAACCTGACCACACGGAGGTGTCGCTGGAGCCTGGTGGTCAGTGTCAGTGTCACTGGTCAGTGTCGCTGGAGCCTGGAGGTCAACGTTGGTGGTCAGTGTCACTGGTCAGTGTTGGTGGTCAGTGTCACTGGTCAGTGTCACTGGTCAGTCACAATCACATCAACATGACAGAGAGGAGGATCGGGGGGGTAACAATAACCCCACTCCCATAAAGACATGGGTCAAACCAGGGTGTGAATCAACATAAGGTCTGGACCAGACTGAGGACAAACCACTGGGTCACAATAAAAACTGTTTTAGCAGCAGTTCACTGTAATTATCCAGACCGTCCAGACCGTCCATACTGTCCAGACCGTCCAGACCGTCCAGACTGTCCAGACCGTCCAGACTGTCCAGACTGTCCAAACTGTCCAAACTGTCCAGACCGTCCAGACTGTCCAGACTCAGCACGGTCCACCTGTGGACGTGGAGCAGAGGTCCACGTCCCAGACCTGATCCTGGACCTCAGCTCCAGGATCAGGTTCCACGGTGAGAACACGTGTCGTTTCTAAAGGTTTGATTTTAAACGGACCGTCGTGGCGGTTGATGACACGTGACACGCGTGGACGTGGTTTGAAGATGCAGCAAAACATGCAAAAATAAAAAGCAGAAACTTTCAGCTTTTAGTC